TTAGCACGAGTCGCCACTGTACAGGCAGTCTTCACTCGAACGGTACGCACATACCCGTCTCTGCTGACAACAACAACTTCCTCCACACGTGCGATCGGCCAAGTACTCGCTGGACCATCTCCGCCGGAACACACCAGCCAAATACTGAGCTTGTCTCCATGCACGCTTGCAGTGAAGATCTCCTTTGTCAAACACACCTGGCGGTAAACTGGGCGTTGGGCGCAAATGCAACAAATGGTTGGGGGTAATTGGCTGATCATCTAAGGAACTGTCGCTGTTGCGTGTTAAGGGACGGCTGTTGACAATGTTTACAGCTTCTGCCATGACAGTAGAAAGGACTTCATCTGTCACCAACTGTTCCTTCAACAAAGCCTTCAACACTCGCTTAGTAGTTTGAATCATCCTCTCCCATGGTCCCCCCATATGGCTCGCGTCTGGTGGATTGAATGTCCACTTGATTTCTTTCTGAGCACAGAAATTACTGATTCTTTGGTTGTTCCAGAGTTGTACAGCCTCTCTCAACTCTTTGTCAGCCTTTGTGAAATTTGTTCCGTTGTCACTTCGAATCTCCTTGGGGCAACCTCGCATGCTAATAAACCTTCTCAAGGCGTTTATCATAGAATCGGCACTCAGCGAGTGCAAAATCTCGACGTGTACTGCACGTACAGTTAAACATGTAAAGAGGCAGCCGTACCTCTTGACGTGTGATCTTCCCTGTTTCACTTCGATTGGGCCAAAACAATCGATTCCAACATATGAAAAGGGTGGTTCACTTGGAGTCACGCGATCTGCTGGGAGTTCTGCCATGAACTGCTCTGCCGGTTTTGCACTTCTCTTCTGACAGTCAAGGCACTTGCTTAGCACCCGGCGCACTGCAGATCTGCCCTTCAAAATCCAATACTTCTGTCTCAACGACGACAGAACTGACTCTTGGCCCATGTGTCCCACTTTGAGGTGATGATCTCTGAGTATTAAATCTGTGATGTGATGCTTGTAGGGCAAAATAACTGGGTGTTTCAACTCGTAAGACAAAGGCGCACGTCCAATACGGCCTCCTACTCTCAGCAATCCATCTTGAACTTGAGGATTTAACTTGCTTATTGAAGCTCCCATCTTTTTCATTAGCCTCTTTACTGACCTTTCATCCGCTCCTGGCTGGAGAGCTGTTACATCAGGGAACTCTTTGCGTTGAACATAGCGCATGATTTCATGCTCTGCCTCGCGAAGCTCGTCAAGTTTGAGGTAATTCCTTCCTTCCGCTGAATCATGTGTGGTTGGGCAACCTTCTCTGAGTTGTAGAAACTTGTTCATAAGATACTGTTTATAGCTCAGCAACCAGGCAATTGCTACCTTGAGCTTCCACCAGGATGAATAGTACAGAATAAGCTTCTCCACGACATCACAACTGACCGCTGTCACATAAACTTGATTCTCCTTTCTGACTTCTGGATCTTCATCCTTGAGGCATGGGACCTCAATCATCTTTGGCCAGTATTCTCCCCCTTTCCACAAAAACTTAGGACCTGTCAGCCATCGGTTGTTCTTGATCAGAACGTCTAGCTTTAGACCCTTTGATCCATCATCTGCCGGGTTCTCGTCTCTGTTGACATATCGCCATTCTTGGGGAGCAGAACCATCGTGTATAATCGTCAGGCGGTTGGACTCGAAGGTGTGAAATCTCTTGGTTTCATTATTTATACACTTCAAAACAGAGTTGGAATCTGTCTAGTAAATGACTTTGTTCACGGTCAGATCCAATTCATCACGGATAGCATGGCTGAGTTTCACAGAGATGACTGCTGCAGTCAACTCAAGTCTTGGAATGGAAATTTCTCTGATTGGAGCTAACCGGGCCTTGCCCATGACGAACGAACAATGGACTCGCCCCTCAACATCTTCAAAACGAAGGTATGCGACCGATGAATAACCTTGTCTCGAGGCATCTGAGAACAGGTGTAACTGGGTTTCTTGAACCTTTACAAATCCTTTGGGTCTGAAACAGCGATCAATCTTCACCTCTTCAAGCTTGCTAAGGTCGTCTAGCCATCTTGACCACTGCACAGTCTCGTTCTCTTCAAGTGGTTCATCCCATCCAATCTTCTTTCTGGTTAACATCTGAAGTAGCAGTTTCGCCTTCATGATGTATGGTGCAATGAACCCAAGTGGATCAAATAAAGAATACACAACAGACACTATGCCACGTCTTGTCACTGGTTTCTTGGAAGACGCACTCATAAGTTTGTCTGAGACCTCCCACACAAATTTGTCATCTTCAATGTCCCACTTCATTCCTAAGGCACTTTGGGTTGGAAGCTGTTCAAGCTCCAAGTTCACAACTGTCTTAGCTCTCTCTGATTCTGGAATAGCAGCTATGACTCTCCTGTCATTACTGCACCATTTTGTTAGATGAAAACCACCTTTGCTGAGCTGCTCACGAACTTTGTTTGCCAGCACAATTGCGTCTGTCACTGTTTCAGTTGACTTCATGAGGTCATCGACATACATGTTCCTGTTGATGACACTTGCAACTTCTGAATTCTGCCCTCCGTCCATCTCTGCAGTTTTCTTCAAACAAAAGTTCACGACACTTGGCGACGACGTCGCTCCAAATATGTGTTTCACCATTCGGTACTCCACTAACTCTGCTGATAGCTCTCCTCCCTCCCACCACAAAAATCTCAATGCATCAGAGTCTCTGGGTTCCACTCTTACTTGATGAAACATTGATTGTATATCGGCTACAAGGCCGACAGTCTCTTGGCGAAAACGGCTCAACACTCCTACAATACGATTAGTTAAGTCGGGGCCCTGCAACAATTGCTGATTCAAAGACGTCTTGGCAAACTGAGCCGCACAATCAAAAACTACTCGGACTTTCTCCGGTTTTAATGGATGCATAACTGGGTGGTGGGGCAAATACCACACTGGTCGGTCTTCTGGGTGTAGCTCATTGGTTGGTACTCTCTCTGCATGGCCCTCTTCAACGTATTCATTCATGGTTGCATTGTACTTGGAAAACAAGTCTTGGTCTTTGAGGAGACGTTTCTTCAGAAGCTCAGCTCGACGCTCGACCATTGACCTGTTATTTGGCAAATAAGGTGGATCATTACGCCACGGCAGCGCTACTTGGTAATGCCCATCAACCATTTTCAACGACTGTTCCATCTTCTCTAGTGCTTTCTTATCCTCAATTGAAAGACTTGCGCTTAAGCTCACAACAGAATCTGCAAAGTCAGTTTTCCAAAGTTTCTCAAGTTGCTCATGTAAAATCTCATCTTGTATTTGACGCTTCACTTCTGCATCTCCACACTGCAGGTTTACATCTGTCTCATTTGCTCCTAATTCTCCAACTTCACTCTCCTCTTTCTTCTCAACACCACCTTTCTGTCCTTCAAACTCTACAACCTCTGGCTCATCAACATAAAACTCCTTGTTACCCAGGCGAACAAAATTAACTGAACAAGGTCCACTATCTCCAGTGCCGCCCAAGGGACCCATAACTGTCCAACCCAACGAGTATCGCACCGCTACTGGCTCACCATGTCCACCTGACTTACATTCCAATGGGACAAACAATGAGGGCTTCTCCTTTAGGCCTATGATAAGACCGACATCTGATGCACTTAACTCTGGCAAATCAACATCCCTTAAATGGGACCAGTTCAAAATGTCTTCTCTCTTGGGAATGCAACTGACTGACACTGGTATCTGCTCAACAGTTCTAACGTTCAACAGTTCCTCTGACACTCTGCCATCCAACGACGTAACAACAATATCTACCACGTGGCCTTCAACGTTCTTGGACCCTGTACTCCTTGTAGCTCATAGTTACATCTTGAGCCCCATGACCCGAGGTCATTGAAAAGCTGTTCCTTGCACAAAGTCACCTCGCTACCGCTGTCTAGTAGCGCATACGTCTCCACAGTCCTCGTCCCTCCCTTGGCTGTAACCTTAACAGGAAGGACTCCTAGGCAAACACGTCTGTCGCCGGCCCCAGTTGCTACTGTCACAGAACTTGCACCTTGCCGTTCTTGAGTCGCTCTTTGGACTTCACCTGAATTACTTGTGGCTGCATTAACTTGTTGAAGATGATCTTCAGCATCAAGAGAGGAACCATGAGGGGTAACACTGGTAGAACTTACTCTCTCTGTCTGATCTCTGGGAGTGGGGTGTAGCAGAGTATTGTGATCCTCAACACAACCTCGCACCTGACACTTGAAGGCTTCCTTGGGACAACGATCTTTAAAATGTCCTCCGTTGAGGCATTTGAAGCACAGCCTCTTGCTTAACGCCAATCTTTGTCTTTCTGGATACGGCAGCTTCTTGAATTTCTCACACCTCCATAATCCGTGCTGTCCAAGACAAGCAGGACACTTTCGGTTGGCACCCGATGTTTTACCATTTTGGTTTGCTTTCTGATCAAGTTCAACTTTAGTTGTCATTGAGGTTAGCTTTGATAGTGGTTTCTCTACCTTCTCTCCATTTCTTTTCTTCTCTCTTGAAGAGCTCGCAGCAAGATCTTCTCCAAATTCATTGTTCACAAGCTTTGCTCGGGCCTTTACAAACTTCAGAAAATCCTCAAATTTTGGCCTTTCCCCAGCTTCAATGATTCTCCCCGCACATTCTGCCCACTTTGCTCTCATAAAATAGGGTAGCTTCCTATTCAGCTCCATCAGGGTGTTGGTGTGGTTCAAGTCACTGACATATTCAGGACCCATTCCCTTCAGGGTTCTCTCTGCTATCTCAAGGCTTCTTGAAAACTCTAACAATGCTGACCCAGTGCTAGCTTTCAATGGTGGCAATTGTTCTAACTTCTTTAAATGAGCTTTCGCGATAACATGAGGAAGACCGAAATTTTCTTTCAGGGTTTTCTTTGCAGATTCATAACCTTCTGACACTGGTAGGTTTACACAACTTTCAATCGCTTCTCTAGCTTTACCAGTACAGTGTTGAATTAGCAACTGAAGACTTCTAGAACCATCGGTATCATCTTCCAAGCA